TTTTGTTTTGTTTGCAAATAGTTCTCAAGTGGGGAAATAAAATCTTACTCTATACTTTCTTACAGAAATAACTAAAATCAGTGATCAAGCTCTGAAAAATATGCTGATCTAACTATGATTTAAGAATTGTGGCTTTAAAAGTTTTTTTCTTTACAAAATACTGAAATCAATTAATTTAAAAAATAAAAAGAAAAAATGTCTGAAAACAAATGTAAGATCACAAGGTAGTTTTCTCATTGTTTCATTTCCTGCATGGCAAATCAGTGTGTGGAATTTCAATGTACCCATGCTAACAGTAAACTTGGAACAAAATACTTTAAATACTAAGGAAGCAGAAAAACTGTACTAGTAGGCGGTGGTGTGTTTCACTTTGAAATTCTGTATTTAAAAAAAATAATCTTTGAATCTTACAAAATACTGTTTAAAAAATACTTATTTCACACTGCTTTTTATTAAATCATTATCATAGTTGCTTAATATATGTACATTCAAATGCAGACTATGTGAAATTGCAGGTTATACTAAATCAAGTGCACTAAATATGAGAATTGTGTATACCTAATTTCAGCCCTTAAAACAAAAATAATTTTGTTCCTTAAGTACATATTATTAAAGTTTGAATCTGAATAGTTTTAAATGCTAAAATAATGTAAATATTAATGTAATAGTAACATTTCACTTTTAAAGAGAAACTTTGATCCAATTTAAATAGCTGGCAGGCTTTCATTGACTGATTTTCATAATGTGGGGCTTATTACTCCCTTTCATCTCCCACAAGAATCAGATTCGTAACAACAGTGGAAGCACATTTTACCTTTGTCTCTTCCTGTTCTCACTGTAGTCAAATGACAGTCTCACATGCAGTTAAAAGGTGCATAACAGGATGTTTGATACTCAAGAATGTGTACTATATTTCTAAAAAACTAGGGTTTGCTTAGCCCCTTTTTGGATCTCTGGAAAGCATACGTGGACAATTGCCCAGCTATTTTATTTACTTCTAACTAATTACCTCCTTCAGATGAATGACAAAATTGGGTGAAATTAGTAAAGAAAGATTGAATTATAACTTGCTATTTCTTCAATTAATTTTCTTGGATCAGTATTCTTTTAATGTTTTGGCATCTCACACATGCTTTTATCTTCAGTTGATAGAAAAATATTTTCATGGTGTAAGAAGAAAGGTATGGAAGAAAAGTAAAAAAAAATTATGGATACACTAAGAATAGCATCGTAAAAGCTTTCAATTCCTGCCCCACCCCCACCCTGGTATTACAGAAGGTCATTGACACCTGAGTGCACAATTTCAGGAAATTTTAATTTGCCACCTTTATTGATTTCAAACTAACTATATTCTACTGAATAAAACAAAAAGGAAAAAAGAGAATCAAAACAATGAAAACATCTCAGAAGGAAAACCATTATTTACAATTGTACATTAATTGTACATCCATGTAAATAATCTTAGCTTAATTCAGAGTATGGGAAAACAATAATTTGTTATGTTTGAAATCAAAATACTGTGTGCATAGTGCTTCTACCAGCAGTCAAGAACTGCAAACAAGAATAAAGCATTAGGTAGTTTTTACTCACTGGTTCAAAAGATATATGGCAAAGTTTGTTAATTGCAAAATGCATTTTCTCAGTTAATATATGTGACCAATGTATGTGTATAAATTTAAAAAGCTGATGTTTTATGTTTGGGTTCTATACACGGAGTTTTAAAATTTTGTGTATACTTGTCAACATTCATCTCTTTATGTCTTCACTACTGATAAGCAGAAGAGTTCCTTTAACATCAGAATGTTCTTCCCAATTCCCTTGCATCACTGTCATACCTGTTTGTTACAAAATAAATAGCTCTTCCGCACTCTAATTGTACTTACAATATCCAGAATTCTTTCAAAAAATACTGCTGGCTTTACTCTGTGGAACCAGTCAGCGTCTGGCTGCTACTGAAATAAACAGGTTTAATTTTTCAATTTTTTTTTGGAGTAAAGCATATGACGTATTTAAATGGGGTAACTATGTATGTCTGCTTTACATTCACCCAAGCAAATTATGTTTCTGAATCTTTTTGGCAGCAAACTTGCTTAAGTGAATGAAATCAAAACAATACTTACCAAAGAGAATTATTTTCTTTTTAAATAGGTATTTTTATTTTACACTGAAAAGTAAGTTGTCAGAAATAACATATATAAGGTATTAAGTGAATTACAGAATGTGCTACCTATAAGGAAAGGTAGATTACTTTTGTTGGTGGGTCTTTACTGATACTACTGATACTACTCTCTTCATTGTATTTCCTATCCTGTAGTAATTCCATGTGGTGTTCTGTTGCATTATTTTTTGTGCTTACTGTTACAGTAGCCTTCCACATGCCATGAATACATAGTTAAAAAAACAACTGCTTTCAAATCAAGTAACTTTTTCTGTAAAAACCTCTTACTCTCTAGTACATTAAGTCCTAAGGATTGTTTGGTTTTGTTTTTTTTGGGGGGGGTTTTTTTTTGCATTCAGGTAAATTCCAAGATAGTTTCAGAACTTAAACACCAAAAAACACTTAATCTGTTTTGTACAGCATATGAGGCATAGGAGGGTTCACCATGAGCTATTTCAGATCCCAGACCTGCTTGCATTTAAGTCAGGGGCTGTTTACTTACAGCTTTTGGTAGGATGCAGTAAAATACAAGCCAATTAGTTTCTCATTTAAACTATTTAAATTGGAATGTTCTTCTGACATCCCTTGTGCCAAGTTTTGTGTATTGTATCGGGAAGCTGTTCATAATAACTTTATGAAAAAAATGACATCCCTTTTCTACTTAATAATCTGGTATGTTTATTTGTCACTCAAATATGTAATGCTTACAAACATGTTACGCAATGCGATACTGGAAACTATTAACTTGAACTTGTGCTGTTTCTGATATAATTTTTAAGAACCACAGTTTTCCCCTTTGAGTCCCGACCTTGCTCCCCACTTATTTTTAATCCCTTCATAAACTAAAGCAGACTACGTGCCAAAGCCAAGAACGTATCCTTTACTCTATGCTTGCATATTTCATTATGTTGCATAAATAATGCAAGTAAATCTGAAAGACACAAAAGGCACATAGCTACAGGTTGGCAAAACAAAGCAGCAGACAGAAGAGAATGGGCTTCAGTGCTTGAAGGTGTAAAAGCAAAGCTAGGTTTTAATACAAGGCAAAAAAGTCCACACAATTCCAGTGTAAAACTTAAGTTACTACAGAAGAAGAACTGGCAAGAAGAAGAGCTTGCCAGTGTTGTTGCACTGAAAAGATTGTACCATCCCCTTTTCCAATTCCTGGTGTTTGAAAGGATTCAGGGTAACTGGCTGTAGGAGAAAAGAAGTTAAGAAAAATTCAATTCTAATTTATCTTTGGTGATTCTTCTGGCTTTGTTCACTCCTAGTAGAATATCCTGTTTTTTTAGTAAGAGAGGAGGATAACTGTCAGGATGTGCTCTTAAATTTTAAGAACTCATCTCAGTTTTCTTTAAAAGAGAATTTGATTTATATCTAAACAGGAGAATAATGCAATTCGTTGTTGATTTTGTGTGGGTTTTAATTAAAGTAGATTATTCAAAAGACAATAGAAGGTGACAAGAGGAGAGGCTTGTAGCAGGTGAGTTTGTGCATGCTCCTATCTGTTTATCTCTCATTGATTAACAAACTGGACAGCCTAAGCAACAAGTCTGCTGCAAAACCAAGGTCTTTTCCTTCATGCTTCCTACTATCTCTGTCACTCATTTTGTGTGTGATACCCTTATTGGCATTATACAAAATTAGCCAGGTCTTGCTCAAGTAGATCAAAAGTACACCTTTCATGTAGCTTCGATCAAGTCACACATCTGTATTTTTATGACTGTTTTTGTTCAGATTGAGGCTTAGAATTTATTATTATTACATATTATGCTCTGCAGTTTTATAACTGATATAAAGCATTTCTCTAGTGATATAATAAATTAGCGTTGAGTTACATGGAAGAGGCCTGAAGAATCATTTGGGTTTGTTTTTTAATCGCATACAAGGTATGACTGTTTATTTTGTACATTTTAAGTGTAGTAAAGACAACTCACTAGTTCTTAGGTTACCTACTGCAATTAAATATTGATAAAGGAAACAAACAGCTTGCAATATCGTGCAAATCTGTGTTTTTCCTTTCTGCTGTCATCAACTGCATTTTCATAAGAGACTAATGAAAGAGGGAGTCCCTTTATGGATGCTTGGGGGTAGGGGGGGAAATAAAAAATCAGTGGCTGATTTTTATCTAATGCCTTGGTTATCTCACTGTGGTTCTGATGAGCTAGGTAAGACTGAAACAGTTAATAAGTTTACAGGTCACTTCACAGAGTCAATGCCCTGGCATTTTATGGCCTCCTAATGAGCCGTTAAACTGGAAAAGAGGTAATTAAATATGGTACTCTGGTACAATGTACACAGTACTGACTCCAGCTTTCTGATTTTAGGTTCCTCAGAAGACGATGAAGTCATTCAAGAAGGTCTCCTCAGGCTCAGGTCAGTCTTTATAGCATCTTCCTGGATGACTTTGTATGTATAAAACTTTGTTATTGCAGCACTTTTGTCCCACCGGCTCTAATGAATTCTTGGGGAAGGGTGAGCTGCGGTGCACAGGCTTGAGTTCTTGCTTGACTCAGTTTCTGTAAGACAAATAAACAATTATATAATGAAAGTTTATTTACAGTAACCCACCATCAGATACCTGCTGTAAGCCGTAAGAGCACTCGCGTCTTTCAGAACGCTGTTGGAGCACCTCTACAACATGCCATATGTACCGATGGCCATATACATCTCAGTCCCCGACTAAAATTTTACGCCCTTGAGTTATTTTCATGCCTCTGCCAAGTTACAGCTCCAGTGGGGCGTTACCGCCGCGCAGCCCCCGCCCCGATCGAGACCGCTTCCCTGAAGCTTAGCCCAGTCAACAGCGATGCCGGCCTGGCTCTGCCCGGCCCTGCCCTGCGCTTCCCTGCCCAGGCACCGGCGTGACCGCCCGCGGCGGCGCATGCGCGAGGTGGCGGACAGGGGGCGCGGAGCTCCCCGCGGAGCAGCGCTGCCTGCCCGAGGGAGGGGCGTTCATGCTAGGCATACGTGCATGCCATCCGTGCCCCGGCTCCCGTATGACGGGAGGCGCTCGCTGAGGCGGCAGATATCCCGGACCTCACGTTTTACCTGCGTGTTGGGGCGGGAGAAGCTCCCCGTGCTACCGGCCGGCCGTGCGGCGGGCGAGAGCGCCTGAGCGGGGAAGATGTGCGCTCTGCGGGGACACGCACACCGGGAACCGACTCGCCCGCTTGTCCTGCGCCTACATGGCGGGAGGCGAAGCGGTGATCGAGTCGGCCGCCAGCGCGGTTACTTCGTGCGACCTGTCCCCTTGGCAAGAGCCGGTTTCCGCTGCAGTTTTAGCCCTGTCAGACGGGCTCCCACGACGATTAGGTAGAGCCTCCTTAAATCCGCCGGGGAAGCGGTCGCTATCAGTTGCAAATCCACAGCTGAGAGACTGTTAACGTACTTGAGACCACACGCTGTAGCTGAGCTCTCGGAGTGGTGCCCTCCCGCGTTCACTTGCCCTCGGATCCCGCGCGGGGTTAGAACCGTTTCGAGTATATTACAAATACCCCTGGCCGGCCGCCGGCGTTGCCGGCAAGTACCCGCGGGAGGCACGGTGGACCGCGCAAGAGGGCTGCACGGCACCGACAGCCTCCGCGTTCCATTTCCACGGAGAATATCAGGAAAGCGCGTCTTGGAAACCGCGCTTTGGCCGTCAATTAAAGTAGCGGTGCCGGTAAACCGCGGCGGGATCCCGCAGCGAGGGCCGCCCCATCTGCCTGAGCGGAGCCGCGCGCTGCGCCTACCTCAGGAGTAACGGCTGAGGCGCGCGGGGGCAGCCGTTGGGGGGCGGGGGGCGTCCCAACGGCTCCAGTCGGCGGGCGGGGTGTGTGAGAGAGAGATAGGGGCGCCCGCTGCGCCTTAGAACGGTGATTCCCGAAAAGAGCCGTCGGCCGGGACGGGGCGGTGCGAAGGCACCGTTGTAACACCGGTAACCACACTCCCCAGATGCACGTCGAGCAAATCCAGTCCCTAGTCAGGGGAAGCGCGCAGCGGGGTCGGAACTGTCTCCTTTGAAAATATCTTCAAATAATCCTGCGGAAATAATACTGAGGGTAACAAGCGTGAAACAGGGAAAAAGGGAGAACCGGGCGGTGGCAGGGCATGACCGACCCTGCTCCCCGAAATGTGCGGGAGGGCGCGTTGTCACATTCCCCACATTTTATGACGTGTCGCACAACGGAACGAGGGCGAAGCTCAGCGCCGGGGGAGGGTCGCGGGGACGGAACCGCCGCGCCCGCGGGCACTGATAGCGGCCTCGCTCCCGGTGGGTGCCCGGTTTTCCCCCTCGTCGGCGCCCCAGGGGGCGAGGAGCGATCGGAAGCGGCCTCCCCGGGCAGGGGCGATCCGCGCCCTCGAGCCGGGCGCTTCGCGGCGACGGAAAGTGAAGGCGGGTTTGGCGCCCAAACTGTAGGTGAGAGGATTTTGGCGGGAACGCTGAGCAGAGACCCCTGTCCTGAAGAAGCAGCCGGAAAGCCCCCTTTGCCTCCCGCCCGCCCTCCCTCCACTTTGGGAAGAGCCCATTTCGATAGAAAACGTGTAGGAAGTACGACGGGCTTCCCATGCAGTCAAACGTCAGCGGGAGCGGCCCACGCGGGCCGGCGCGGTCCTGCGTGGGGCTCCCGCGGCGTAACGCCACCAACTGAAGGAGGGGTAGTGGGGGGGGAATCAGAGTGTCTCCAGCGGCTTTCCTGCGCGTTCTGCCAGCCCGCCGGCGAGAAACGCTGTTCTTTGAAATGGGAAGTCGGGGCAGCACCCTGAGCTCTGCTTTCAAGTGTAAAAAACGCATTTTGTTTCAAATGCACGCAGGTCGGTCGTTTGGTTGGCTCCCCCCCGCCCCCTCCCGTTTTGTTTTCTATGGAAGTGGTGGGTTTTTGTTTTCTTGTTTCGTTTTGGGAAACAGAACAAACTAGAGTTAAGACAGAAGTTTTAGGAAGGTGACAGGAAATTCAACACCACTGGGTTTGGTTACATAGTTTCAAGTGAGTCTTTACCGTGCATTTAAAAACACAAGGATTCCAGCTGCCTACAACTGTCTTCACCAAAATTAGCATCTCTTTAAAGAAAATATAGAAATATATTTTTTAATATGTGAACTATTAACCATTTAACTATTTTTTTCAAGAGCTGGCTTGTTCTGTAGGGCTTTTCCCCGTCTTTATTCTCTTGGCTCCCCCCCCACGCCCCCGCCCCCCCATCCTTTGCAAATGAATTTTGGAAAAGGGTGTTAGTGGGTTGGGTTCTTTTTTCTTTTCTTTCTTTTTTTTTTTTTTCTTTCTTTTTTTTCTTCCCGAAGAGTTCCCAGCTGGCAACAGCTCTCTACCTTCCACAAAACTTGAAAGGCTGATGTCCCTTGCAGGAAATGAATGAGTCGATAACATCTGACACCAGTGACCAGTCCAGTGACCCCAACCTTAATTCCACTAATACTGGAGGCCTGAAAATTTCAGTAAAAACCCACTGCAAATCTCCCCATCGGCCCCCCATTTTACAAAATCTGTATTTATTTTGCAATGTAAGAAATACTTTGCAACAAATATCTTTACATTCATTTATGTGCACAGTTTGTAGTCTTTCATTTATTCATCAAAGAACATATACTGAATTTTAACATAAATTTGCTCACAAGACATTTAGTTCATTTAATAAACTTAAGCAACTCGTTTGTATCTGCTTAACAGTATTCTTGCCTCTAAGAAATTTATATACCAAATGTCGGTAAAATAACTCAATCTGAGAAAAAAAAAATAAAAACAAAAAAACAAACAACAAAACCAACCCGAAGACTTTTAAAACCTTATAAACCAGACTGCTTTCTGTCTTTTGGGAGGGAAGGGGCAGAGCGAGCTTGTGTTTAATAAACGTGCCATTCTGCTACAAGAAATGTAGCCTTGGGCACTTCAAATAAGTGCTGTAAACTTTTTTTTTTTTTTCATTATTATTATTTCTTTTCTTTCGGTAACCTTTATTTGTTGTTCATATCTGAGTTTTCAGCGTGTTAAAATCTCGTACATTTATTATATATTAGATATCGTCCCGGTCATAAGATCCAAGCATATAAAATTACTGGTGATTTAATATTGTAAAATAATCGCTATTGTCGAGGGGGGGAGGGAGGTTACAAGCAAAAAGAAGTGGTGTGTTTCACTAATGCGTAAGGCAGGTCAGTGTAGGAAGTCGACCTCCACTGTTGAAATAACCTATAGGAAATTTACGGTTGAAGACTGCAAAGGAATTTCAGGACTTAAAGCTTCTGCTCCACTTGCCAGGCTGGTCATATTCCTACGCTTTTGCCCACTCTCTTTTCTTCCTATCAGTCAGGCTGAGCACCTGGGTGTTTCACACAGGAGTGAGGGGCTGGCAGGGGAATTTACGCTTTCCCAAAAGGCAACAAAAGGAGTAAACAGGCCCTGGGGGGCCAAGGCGCCCCCCGTAATTGGGCAGACTGATGGACGCCACTTGCCAAACAACAGCAAGTGCCTTGCAAATGCATAACCCCTTGTGCTCAGGTTCTTCGCGGATCCGTTTGGGCTTTGGCTTTTGTTTGTGTGTGTCCTTGGTATAAAAGAGGGTGCCGGGGCAGGGAGAGATTTTAATATGAAAGAATAGAACCCAGGTTTTAACAAGGTTTGGGCAACGTTTAAAGGTTGTACTATACTGGAGTAAAGTCAGGTTACATGCGAGGAGGTGGAGGTGAGGACAGAAGAGGCAAATGTGATGTTTTCATGCCTTCATCCGTACCTTTACACATAAGGAGATAGAGAAAATGAAAAATAAAACGGAATCTCACCTAATTAGGGCTTAGTTGGGTTTTTTGTTTGTTTGTTTGCTTTTTTTTTTTTTTTTTACGTTTCTGAAAATACTTTTTAAAACAAGCTTTTGGCCGAAGAGCAGCACTAGCGAGGGCGTGCTTGGGGGCCGGCACCCCGTACTGGGGCGAGCCGAGGGGCAGCGCCGTGGTAACGGGGGCGGTTACCAAGCCCGTTCCATGGCACGCGCTTCTTATCCGAGTTGGATCCCCCCTCCCGTTGGCAGTGAAGACTTAAACCAGCAATCCCCAGTCAGCACTATTCTCCCCACTTTGTCTTTTTCCTCTGTTTTGGTTTGGTTTTGTGTGGTTTTGTTTTTTTTTTTTTGTTGTTGTTGTTTTTTGGTTTGTTTTTTTTTTTGCCTTCCTCCTCTCCAGCAACACATTTTCTATCAGTCCTCCTCTCTCCTCATCGCTGCTGATAGAGGTTCACTCCAATGAAAGCTGGGTTCTTATTTAGGAAGTCATTAATCACATCCCCTCCCCCGGAAAGAGATGGCGGAGAAACCTGTGAAGTACAATTCCTCGCCCCATCCCCCTCCAGAAATGGTTTGAAACGCCAAACCTCCGCGCTTTCTGAGCCATATTAAGGTGATTCCGCCTTTACGGCGCGCTTTTGATTTAAATGGGGGTAAGGGATGCGCAGCACAACCACCTCCCCGCGTACTTCAGCGCACGTCTGCGCACACGCGTGTACCTCATCTGTAGGCGCCTTGCATCCTTGTGTATGCCCCCCCCAGCCCCCCTGGCCGCCCGCCCCTGCGGGTGTGCGCTGTTCCCAGGGCTCTTCCTACGTATTTGTGCGCGCACGGGAGAGCAGAAACCCCAGAGTCATACGTCATCTCGGTTTCCCGTACGGACGCGTGCAGATTAGCTGTCGAAAAGGGGAAAAAAAAAAAAAAAAAAAAAGAAAAAAGGGCGCATTAGAAATTTTTTGTTCATTCATAAATTATTTCGGTGTGTTAGCCTCGTTGAAATGGCGATTGGCTGCTCCTGCCTCCTGCCAACCCCTTAAGGATCCGATGTGAAATTAGTAGCAAGAAAGCATGTAATTGAGCGAGTCACGTGTGCGCAGGGGGCCAGAAACGGAGCGAGAGAGAAGGGGAAAAAATCAAAAGAGGGAAAGCACATTAGACCATGCGAGCTAAATTTGCGATCGTTCAAAATCAGGATGTTAGATTAATGCAGAAGACCACTTCGATCCACAGGGAAAGTTTTCATCTCACGAGTTTGGAGCAGAGGGCCCGTGGGGCAACATGGCCGAAGGTTAATTTTCTTTTTCTATTGTTTTACTATGATTTTCGCTCGCTCTCTCTCTCTCCCCCCTCTTCCTACCCCCCCCTCCCTTCCCCCTTTTAACCCAACTCTGCGTTACCCTTTTTTAGCAGCTCGCGCAAGGGGGCTTTCTCTAGCTCCATTGTTACCCCGCTCAGAAACTGTTCCGTACCGCCCACACCGATTCACAACTTGAAAAGCTTTCAGGGGGCTATTGTTTGAATTGTTCCTGTTTGATTAAGCACAGTTGCAGTGGTGGGATGAGAAAACGGCCGTACACCTGTCCCAAGTTTAATCGAAAGTTTATTCCAAGGAGGGATGGATCCACGTTGGAAAATAGTGGTTTCGGCGCTGCATGTGCAATAACCAGTTGTGCAATCTACCCAATTTTGCTTGTTCTGTCTCCTCCACCCCTCCTCGGCTGGCCTCCCCCCTCGCCCACCCGTTCCTGCGCCTTGCGAGGAGAGAGTAATTGGGCTGAGAATTTCTGTTGAGAAATGGGATCGGTCTTAAACCAGCAATATTCAAGTAAAGTATCGCGTTCCGTGCTGTTATGTGACTGAAAGATGGAGTTAAATGGAAAAATACACGTATGTACAGAAACGTGGGCTGCCCTGGGCAAAGAGAGGGAGAGCCTGCGTATGCAGTGTTTCCTCTCTGTAGCCTCCGGTGATTTTTTTTTTTTTTTTAGTATTTTGGGGAGAAGGTTGTTTATTTCAGGATTTAGGAAAAAAGGAACTATTTTCGCTGTTTTGATTTTGTTTTGTTCGCTCTTTTTTCTCCCGTTTCTTATCTAGTAACTCCTTCATACAGTGGCAAAAGCATGTTACCAGAATTTAACTCTTTGCATCTTGTCGTGTCCGTCCCCCCCCCTACCCCCCCCCCGTCCTTGTTTTTCTCCCCCCTTCTCACTTGCCTCCCTCCTTCCCCCTCCCCTCCCCACCTCTCCTACCCCGCGCCTTTCCCCCTCTTCCTCAGCAGGGGCGAGTAAAGGTGGAGACGAGCCCGGGAAGTTGCCGGAGCAGGAAGAAGAGGAGGAATCCCAGGTTTTGCACGGAACCGGCCATTGCAAATGGTTCAATGTGAGAATGGGATTTGGGTTCATCTCCATGAGCAACCGAGAGGGAAGCCCCTTGGAGTCTCCAGTTGATGTCTTTGTACACCAAGTAAGACCCATTTTTGTCTTCCATCTCAGCCTGCCACATTTGGTTGAGCTCGGTGGGACTCCAGTTTCACGTGCAGAGATGTAACCCGTTTTTCCTAGGTATTTAGGTACATCTGTAATTAAAAAATTGCCTTAGATAGTGGTTTTGTTGGCAGCAGGCAATTTGAGTAAATAAGGTTGTTAGCTTGTGTTTTAGTCTCTGTGGCTGGAGATTTTGTGCAACGGGATGTTAGTTCTTCGTATTTTCCTCCTTGGGTAGAAGCTTTTGTGCTTTTTATTTAAAAGGCCACACAATTTATTTTTTTTTTACTAAGTTTATAATTTGTCACCAGCCTGATCAGGGGCAGATATGCTTTTCTGTGGAAACTGATTAAAACGAAGCTTGGAAAAGGATAAATAAATGTAGGGTTTCATTCATATAACATTTGAATACAATTTTAAATGCTTTTCTTGTAATCCTCGAATTACTTGTTAAAAGATCATCTGAGATTAGTTAGTGAAATTAAGACATAATTATACTGTAATTTTGCAGTAATTCAGATCTGAGAGCATCCCTGTGGTGATACACTGAAGAGTGCCTGTGGTTTGGTTAGTTGATTTTTAAATACTCCTCTATAGAGAAAAAGTGTTAACGATTCAGGAATCAGACCAAAAGCAGTGTTTTTGTAAGGCTGTTGGAGACAGAAGGGGTGTGTGGCAATTGGTTTTATTTTTAAGCACAACATTAACATTGTTTGTATTTTGAATGTGGAAGCTGGTATGGATGCCTTCATGCAATGGAGTTTCAGATGCAAGATATGTACAAAACGATAAAGTTAAAGGAACCTTTCCCAGTGTCTGTAGTGTGGCTTGTGGAGCAGGAGCATGTGTAGACCTTCCCTGGTCCTTCTGTTTAGTCTCCAGTTGTAACAATGCTATACTGTATTTGACCCATCTTCTCTGTGATCAGAGCAGAGCGGTGTCAGGTGAAGAGACCATTTTGGGTTTGGCTAGGGCCATGTTAGGAAGGCAAAAAGGCATCTTTTTATGTGGTGGTCCCATTTTCTATGACGTTTGCAATGATGGGGGAGGGGGGGTGTTCCATGATTATATAGCGATTCCCTTTCAGTGTTCCATTTGATGGTCCAGCCTTGTTTTGTGGTAACTGTCATCAGGCTTTTTAAAAGAATACACGTTTTATTAGGTTAATAAAAAGGTGACTGAAATTTAGAAATAATGCTGCTGCTGTTGCATGCTGCCTTCTTCCTTGTGCTGGTGAAGTGGGTTTCAGATCTTGCTGCCTAAGGGACTGCACATCAGTATTAGTTGCTTGAATTTGGAATTATGTACAAGGTATAGAAACAAGTAGTGAACTTAGCGAATTCCTACACTGCTTTATACTGGCATATGAGATGCCCCCTCTTTACTGCTGCTTTTTCTTCTCAGAACTGAATGAATGAAATACTTATCAAAGAAAGAGCAGTCTTCCTTAAGTTTTCCCCCTTTCTTACCTTCTTTGTACATTCTTAAGTTGTGAAATTGCTCTTCACAGTTCTATAAATTTACAGATAACAAACCTTTTTCTTAATTAATTTTGTGTTAATACAAGTCATTTTGTTTCTGAAATAATAGAAGGCAAACATTTGAAGCATAGCAATGTTAATAAAAAAACACATTTGGAAACAAAGATATCCTGAGAGCTGTGGAAATAGAGAAGTGTTGAACCGCATGATAATGGGTTACATTTAAGTAATAACTACACAAGATGTGCTGTTCCATAATGGAAAGTAGTCATAGCAAGTAATAAAAAAAAGTATGTATTCAATTTGGAAGTCACTATTTAGTTGTGACCCTTAAGGAAGAAACAAGAAGGAAATGTTAGACATGTTTGTTTGCAGTTTAATAATCTACAGCTTATCAGTATCTTTAGCTTTCTAAGACCAGACTCTATACCACAGTGCAAAATGCAGTGAAAACCAGTGTGTTTCATTGTACATGAACTGTGGGCCTCAGTAATTTTAAGTATTACTCAGAGATGTCTCACTGAGTTATTAGTATTCTGCAGTGGATAGCTCTTACAAGAAAGAAGGTTTCTCACCTTTTTCTTTCTGATTAAATCTGGGATATAGGTAAACTTCATGGTGACACGAATCTTCTTTCCATCTGTCAAAAGCAGTACTTTTCTGTTTAATGGAGAGAAGCAGTATCTATTTCAGAGTACATTTTAGGTAATTTATATCATTGCATAGAATGCTTTCTGTTAGCTGACTACCTGACCAGTGGTAACAGTAGCAGCCAAAGCATAAAAATGTCTTTAAATCGGTGATGTTATTTAACAGTGCTCCCTGTACAAGAGAGCCTGTTGCCCAAACAGTGATTTGACCCTATTCCTATTCGTTTCATTTATTTGAAAAATTTAGGCATGTGAAAAAGCCTTTTTGATGTTAAGTTTATTCATCTGTTGAAACAAAATATTGCTGTTCAAAACTGCTTTGAAAACACAATCTAGTTAAGTGTGTGCACATAGTGGTGTGTCCATTCATTCATTCTGCAATGATTGTAACTACTAGTATAATTTTGTAGAATCAGACAGTCTAAACAGACGAAAAACGCTTTTATTTACTTCAAGTCCTGTCAAAGCTAGTTTAAACCCTGCAACAATATTTTTACTTCTTTATCTTACTTTTTCTTGGTGAGGTTATGCCTATTTTATGAGGTCTTGCTATGAGTCAAAATTCCTGTAATAGTTTAAGCTCATTATACCTAGACTTTAAAGTTTGCAATAAATAATTTTGCTTTCTTCTTGGAGTTCCCCCTTTGTTGTGTGCCGATTACAGACATGTTTTTCTAAAGTCAGTGCTTCACTAGTTGTATAAATTGATATATTTTTAGAGGACAATGCTTTTGTTTGGACTTCTCTTTTCCTTCACCCAATGAAAGTTCTCTTCATGAAGCAGCTGCAGTATTTGAGTTTTTAACTCTTGCCTTTTAAGTCCTTTCTTCAGGACTCGTCATTTTGATTGATCTTCTGAAGTACCTTCAGGTTGTTTGTTGTTACCCTTCTGGTAATGAGGTACCAAGAGCTAAATGCATTAAGGTAGAAATCATTATATATGTGCATCTGCATGTGTACAGTGTAAATAGGGCACGCTTACAAACATCTACACTCTTCCTTTTTAGCTTTATTCTTACATCTTTAAGTCAAGTGCTCGAGTAATCCAGTGTCATATAAAAACTGCAAGTCCTGAAAATGATTTAATTTTTTTTGAAGACAAGCCATGTCCAATGCAGCAATGTACCCAGTCCACTGTGGGTTTTTTACAAAAAAATGAAGAGTAGCAATGTTAGTAATTTGTAATGCTGTTAAATCCAAGGAATGTGCACCTTACTGAATTTGGCTCAGTACTGTCATTTGGACTTATAAAAAGTTAGCATGGAATGAATAATATAGCCTGCTTTTATTATGCACAGTTATGTGTGTACAGCTCTTGTTAAATTTTAGAAAAAGGTCTATCAAAGGATAAAACAGACTGGAGGGCTGAAGTGAAAACTTTTGTGGTGCACATGAAGAAAGGTCTTCGTTGCTAAGAACAGCTCAAGCATTCATGAAATCAGAGAAAAGGGTGAAGTTTATTAAAATATTATTTACATGTTTAAAACTGTACACACAACTTAGATATGCACAACTGTTTTGGGTGCTGGCAGTAAGGCAAAAATGCTGTACATTCTTTTTTGCACACTAAGTTAGATTAACGTGTCTGTTTTCCTTTGTGTAGTGTGGATCCCAGATGTTAAAGATGATAGTGAAAGGCAGGGTGCTGGGTATAAACAGATGCAGTTACATGTTTGTGAATATGAAGGGTTATAATTTTACATAATGTTTATGAATAATGTGGTCTTTCAGAACGAGATGAATTGTTCAGTGAGATGTCAGTTGTGACCTGGCTCTGTAGTCCAAAATTCTTAGCACATTAAGGGGATTCATACAGGATTTCTGAACTGGGACCTTAAATGTGGTCCTTCTTTGGGATCCTCTTTTATGAGGTGCGGAGAGGAAGGAAGGGAGGAGCAGCACACAGGAGTTGGTGTACTTTATTTTTCTCATTAAAAGGAACATGGTTGGTTTGAAATTTTTCACTATTATCTGACCTTTCTTATTGTTGCTGCAAGTTACTGTTATTACAAAATTTAATAAAAACGGAAAACAGCCTTTTTCAATTCCACTGAGTTCTTCTGCACTGCACTGTATTTTTTTATATTATAAATTTTGCTCTTCTTATTGCAAGTACCTATACAAAAGGAGGGGAGTCTTCAGCTATGATTGTGAACCGGAGAATAAATGGAAAATTAGACATTTAAGGAGCATCTTAAGTACTCCTTTAATTTGATCAACCATTCTTTTTGATGATAAAATCAGATGCCTGTTCTTTAAGTTCCTGGTACTTTAGCTACAGTTGAACTGCTTTTTCTAGGATAAAGTTGGACATGGCATGATATGCAATGCTGACTTTCTCATGTTGTGACACATGATCCTGTGCTTTTGCAAGGATGTATTCATTCATTCATCAAGCATATATTTTCCATTTCTGCATTATTAGGAGCCTGTAAAAAGCTACTTAATTGCTCAGGATAACTGGAAGTTCTTGGGCAAGCAAGTGGGATCAATATTATCTTCCTCCTTATTGTCAAATATGACATAGCAATACCCATCTGAAGTACAGAAATCTTCATGCAGAGTATGCTGTTATACACTTGTCATGCAGGGGACCAGGCAAGCCCAGTCCTAATTAAAACAAAAAAGACTAGCAGGATTTAGAGGGGGAAGCTGAGGAAGGAAGCAAATGGGGAGTAAATTTGTGTCTGCAGTGAGCAAGTATGTCAGAGATCCAGCAGAGATCAGACCTACGCTAAAGATGTGGGTGTCAAAGTGTGCTCAGCAGCCTCAACACGTGTAGAATCTGTAATGGGTAACTGTTGGAGATCCGGAGCCAAGCTTTGGCACTCACAAGCTGTGTTGGAACA